CTGGCCCAGGCTTCACTTATAGATTTTTCCTGCACAGATGAGCCACCAGAGGGGTCATTGAACCCAGACTTGAACATATTGGTAGAGTGGCTTCTGTGTGCAGTTCAGCCACCCACAGAGGGACGTCGTAGACAGAGCCCTCCTCTGCCCCTGCAGGGAGTGTGCTGTGCAGGAGATACATCCTGCGTCAAGCCTCCTGGCAGGGCTCCACCCAGGGACCCAGTGTGGAAGGGACAGTGGGTGTTTGGCAATGCAGCTGGAGACCATCCTGTCCCTGACTCCCCCACATCATGACACAGGAGAAGCTGTGGCATGTGGAGCACCACTGGGATGCAGGGCAGCAGCCTGCAGAAGGGGGCTTTCCCGGTGTGGCCAGAGCTTCACTGTGGTGTGCACCCATAGTGATTGCTATGGGAGCCAAAGCTGCCGTGAGCTTGAAGTAGGTGTTGGGCAAGTGTCAGTTAAGGTCACCTACTGCTCTGTCTACATTTTCCAGTGCCCCCTTCCCCACTTCCTCCCTCCAGAATTAAAGATCCTCTTGTCTTTCCCTCTGAACTCTGCCCTATTTGCTTAGGGTCACACATGGACAGATCCGGACCCACTAAACTATCGACACCTCAACCATGGATTACTCCTTCCTGTGGCTCACATGCCACACCAATGGCTGGTGTTTGGCAAATGCCACATGAATTAATTAATTAACTAATTAATTAACGAGTTGAAGAGTAAATGAATGATCAAGCTGAAATCTTGTCACAGAAAGGGAAGTTCATGGCGACAGGAGACCGTGAACTTGTGGCAAGAGGCACCAGAGATGACTGGCCTCAGTGTGGCCTACACTGCTATGGGCGGAGCTTCTCAAAGCTGCAGGAGCTCAGATGTCATCTAGTCCAGTCTGTGTCATACGAACCCTCCACGGCATTGCAGACAGCAGGCCAGGCCCTGCCCAAGCACCTTCAGTGAGGGCAGAGGGAGCGGGCTGCAGCTCCAGCACTTTGCCCAAGTGCAGTGGGAAGGACATAGGCCGTGTGCCTCACTGACCTGCGTCTCACTGACCTGGGCTCAGATTTCAACTCTGCTGCTTGCCAGCACTTAACCTCTCTGAGCCATGTTTTCTCTCTCTCTCTCTCTCTCTAACCTCTCTGAGCCATGTTCTCTCTCTCTCTCTCTCTCTCTCTCTTACTCACTTTTGTAAAAGGGATATAATACTACCTTCTTTCAAAGTTGTTGCAAGCACCAAGAGAAAATGCAAAACAAGCAAACAAACCAAAAACCCAACCCACCAACTTATTAAAGATGATTAATGAATAGTAGCTAATTCTGTTTTTATGACATATGATTAATTGTTACTTATGGCTAGGAAAGGTGTTGTGAAGAGTTCAGAGACAATTCTAAGGAACAGAATTTGTGTTTAAACCTAACAATTTGTCATAATTAAGTGAACTTATTATGGGACTTAATAGCATGGTTTCATGGGAAGATGATGTGCCAAGATGTTCAGGATCAGGGGTTACCAAGCTTTTCCCGTGAGGACATGCCCCATGGAACACGTTCACAGTGAGTCATTTACCAGCACATGGAGGCCACTGCAGAGACCTAGAAAGCTGCAGGCTGGCCTGGGAGAGATGGCCCAGAAACAGTGCTCAAGGCCAGCGTATGCCCATGTCAGTCCTAATTCTGGAAGCAGCCTGGGATAGGAGCAGCGGATCCACGGTGCTCCCATTATACATTTGGGAGCCAGGTTGTTACTGGTTTGGCTACTGCAAGTTTTAGGCCAAGTATTAGGGCCTCATCTAAGAAGCAGGGCTTTGGTCCTGAGGAGTGGGAGGAAGGAGGTGTGGGGCCTTGGGTAGGTAATGGTGGCCAGAGCCCTAGGTGTCACCTAGGCCAGGCCAAAGCCTGTGTATAGAGCCAAAATGGTTCAGAAGTCAGGTCTTAGTAACTGGTTTGAACCCATGGGAGAAGGTGGAGAAGGAAGGAGGAGAAGAGAGGAAAGGATCAAAGAGTAACTGATGCCGGAGTGAATGGGTACCGTTAACAATCAGGAGGGTCTCAATTCCATCCTAAATTCCCTTCTCCTCCCAGTTTCCCCATCACAGTCGCAATCAGTAGCACCTCTACCCACAGGACCAAAATGCTCAGATTCCACTCGTCACTCCGCCTGGAACCCGCTCCCTCCTCCTCTGGCCAACTCCCTGCCAGCCGTTTTCAAGTCCTGCCCATGTCCCGCTGCCACTATCCTGGTTCAGGCCTCCACTTCCCTCCTGACTCCCTGCACAATCTCAAGCCTGTCTTCCTGCCTCACCGCCCCCCCACTTCTGTCCACCATTCATACTGCTGCAGAGTTCTCTTCCCCAAAACCAATCTGGCCACACTCATCCTTGGCTTGGAATCATTTGGCAACTCTTTGTTACAGTCCGGAGCAATCCGCTAGCATGGCTGCTACCGACCTTCACGATCTGCCCAGCTTCTTGTGCCCTTCCCCACTAGCTTCAGCCCAGCCACCCAAACGGCCTGCAGGTCCCTGCAGTGGGCTGTGCCTCTCTGAGCCTCTCGGTGTTCTCCCTCTGCCTAGAACCTGCTGCTCCCCCCTTCCCTGACCAACTCCCTGTCAGCCTCTCTAACTCCACTCCAGAACCCCACCCCTACCCCTGACTCTGGGGCTGGCAGAGGAGCTCCTCCTCTGTGCTTCTCACTCCCTCCTGCCCGCGGCTCTCACTGTATTGTCCTGGAGTAACAACAGAGCCCTCTGCCTCTCACATCCTGAGCCCAGGGCCTGCTCTTATTCATTTTCTGCTCCAAAGAGCTCAGCATCCTGCCAGACAGACCTGAAGCGCTCAGTAAATCATTTTGTGAATGAAACTGAGCAATGAGGGAGTTCATGAGAGAGGAGGGGGGACAACACAATTAGGTCCTAGGGATGTTGAGTTTGAGCTGGTGATACAGCATCTAGGTGGATGTCCAATCTGTACTGGGAAGGCGAGTCTGAAGCATGGGAAACGTCTTCTTAAGAAACTGTGTTCTCTGGTCAGAGATGAAACCAGTTTTCCCTAAGGAGGTCAAAATGACTAAAAAGTGGCTCACAGATACCAAACCAGCTTCATCGACTCAGGGGAGCTTCAGATCCAGATGGATATTATGAGGGACATTGTCTGGTGTGATTCTTTTATTTAACAAAAGAGGAGACTAAGGCTCAGCAAGGGGAAAGGCCTAGCTCAGTGGTTCTCAACCTCCTGGCCCTTTAAATACAGTTCCTCATGTTGTGACCCAACCATAAAATTATTTTCGTTGCTACTTCATAACTGTAATGTTGCTACTGTTATGAATCGTAATGTAAATATCTGATATGCAGGGTGGTCTTAGGCGACCCCTGTGAAAGGGTCGTTCGACCGCCAAAGGGGTCGAGACCCACAGGTTGAGAACCGCTGGCCTAGCTTAGAGGCAATGCTAGGACTAGAACCCGTGTGTCTCCACCACAGTCTAAGCTCTGTTTGCCAATCCCCATGGCCTCCTGTTCATGGCACTCATCTCTGGGCCCTGAAGGAGGGCGTTGTCACTGGGGATGAGAGAAGGGATGAAAGAAGGCACTGGAAGAACCAGCCTCAACGATGTTCATACACTACCTCGTCCTTTCCCACAACACAGCTTCTCATGGCCCCGCATGAGAACAGACCCGATAAGACCTTGGGAGCACGGAGCCTATGCACTGAATCCCACGCACCAACAAACAGGATGGACCTGTGGCCTTCATTTCAGCCACAGCTGCATCTGTTTGTATTTGCCATGTGTTGTGTTGTTTAAAATCCTCACCCGAGGATGACATGTTCATTGATTTTTAGAAAGAGAGGCAGGGGGAGGAAGGGAGGGAGGGAGGGAGATAAGTGAGAGTTGCCTCCCGTACGTGCCCACCCTGACCGCTGATTCGACCCACAACCTACCAGGTAGCTATGTGACCTGACGGGGAATCGAACCTGAGACCTTCTGGTATACGGGATGTGTCTCCAACCAGCTCGGCCACACTGGCCAGGCCTATTTTACCGTGTTTTAAAAAGTGTTGACCATCTCCTCTCCAGTCCTGTAACGGATCAGAGTCAGCTCATTAGAAACCACAAGAGAGACTCCTGTGAACAAAATAACTGACACACTGACTCCGAAAAAACAGCAGATGGGGTCATTCAGGGCGAGGACCAATAGCCATTCACAGCCAAGCACATGAAGACTCTCTACACGCACATATCCCAACACACGTCCCAGTTGTGATATCCACATCACGTGCTATTTAAGATCTGTGAGCATTTACACATTTCATAAGGATTGTCATCAAAAGTGATTCAGACCGTTTAAGAAGCAAGCCCCCCCGCTATCAAAGGGAGGAATTATCCTTAAGGATTCTGCACAGCAAAGGGTCTTCATCATGACAAAGTGGGGGAGGGAACTGACGTGTGTCAATTGACCACAATCACCAGGCACGTGGTTTAACACAATGATAATCTATTATCGCATTTAACTTTTATAATTCTTATACTTCACACACAGTTATAAAGGGCGGGCAAAAGTAGGTGTACAGTTGTGAGTACACGAAACAGAGCTTATTTGTGTATTTATTAATTACGGTGTTATTTTCCATACGAACAACGGTAAACCCACTTTGGCCCCACCTGTGTATGTTGAATCCATGAATGACTGAATGGACTGAGTTTTTGCAGCCTCAGTTTGAATATTGGGAAAATAAGGCCCAGAGATTAGAATTGCCCGTGCCTGATCACTCATTGGGAGCTGGGAGCCTGAGCCCTTCCCCAGGCACTATTGCCAAAACCGCATGAACTTGGCAGAGGAAACCTGTCCCTTACCCGTGAGGACAGAGTGGAGTGACCGCTTCAGCCACCGTCCAGTCAGTACCGCAAGGACGCGTTGCGAGTTGGCTGAGTCTGCAGCCCCGTGAGGGCGCTGCTTCCAGGCAGATGGTGACTCATAGCACATGTGCTTTCTTTGATTCCCAGGAATGAATTCCGAGCATGGACGGACATCAAGCCTGTGAAACCAATAAAAGCGAAGCTCCAGTACAAGCCCCCCGATGATAAGATGGCTCACGAGACCAGCTACAGTGCCCAGTTCAAAGGGGAAGCCAACAAGCCAACACCAGCTGACAATAAGTTCATTGAGCGCAGAAGAATACGCAGCCTCTACAGCGAGCCTTTCAAGGAATGCCCGAAGGTGAGGCAGGTCTGGTGGGGAGCCCATCAGCACAGCCTGGGATGGAGGGGTTCACTGCCACAGAGCATGGGAGCGGGGCTACTCCAAACCCTCCCGTGAGCCGGCCGGCCAGGGTGGCTCAGTGGTTGAGCGTGGGCCTATCAACCAAGAGGTCATAGTTTGATTCCCAGTCAGGGCACATGCCCAGATTGTGGGTTTGATCCTCAGTGGAGCGTGCAGGAGGCAGCCGATCAATGATTCTCATAATTGATGTTTCTGTCTCTCTTTCCCTCTCCCTTTCTCTCTGAAATCATACATACATATATATTTTTAAATCCTCCCTTATGCAGTTCACTGCGATAGAGGGGGCTTATTAACAAGAACCTTTGATAAATTCAAAAGGAATGTGTTAAAGGAACATTATCTAAAATAAAAACAGTGTAAAGACTGGCAGTTGTGCAGAAAACTAGCTTCTGATTTTGAGAAACCTAGGGGAAAAAAAGTGACAGAAAACCTCCTCTGAGCCCTAAATCCCCTTGTCATAAAATAACTGTGCTTTTGCTCCTGCAGTGCTGGCCCCGTGTTGGAGGCATCCTTGCCTGGCTTCCTTCCCACCCGACCCCTGCCTCATCCTCAGCTCCAGACACTTCCTCACCTCCCGGTCCCTGAAAATCACCTGCCTTTTCTTACCCTTTCCCTCGATAAATGCCATCCACCAGCAGTTCTTAGTCGTCACAACACACCTGTCATGTCAGCTGCAAGATGTGTTTTGGGTAATTTGTTATTATAATGAGCAGTTTGTGAATGAATTGCATTTCTAAGTAACTTACGTGGATTCAGGGGTTTTCCTCTAATGACACCATTTTGCCTTGTTTGCATCCCAGAATGCATTCATGAGAGGGAGAAGCATGTTGGAGATTCCGCTGCTGACATAGGACTCATATATGCCAGAACTTGTTCTCTGAGGTCAGGTCACATGGAATCGTGCAAATATCAGCTCTCCTATCTGTAATAGCAGAAAAAGTCGGAGACCCTAGACAGCCTTTTCTCTGCTTTTGCCCTAAAGTCTTGCACTCAGTGGTTTCCTATTTGGCCAACGCAAGTAAGATAACTAACCGACCCTGTTTGCCTCGACTCCTCTAGTTGTAGCCCTGAGAGTTTCATGTTTCATGAAAGCTCTGTCCCCGGCAAACCAGGCTGATTGGTTACCTTAGGAACAGGTCTGGGGTGACAGGAAACCTCTGGACCTCAGTGAGTGAGTGGCCCAGCCCAGGAGCCCAATGGCATCTCTGTCCACCTTTCACAGATGAGGTAGGACCCAGGACATGGGGTTGGCTTTGGACAAAAGAAGATTCAAAGGGAAGAAGGAGGAAAGATTGGGGAAAATAAATCTAGAGATGGATGGGAGGTGGCATACTGAGGGATCACACTCAGTGACCCCAGAGTTCTTGAGAAAGAGCAGGCAAGGCCATCTCCTAGGAACAAAGGGGCAGAGCTAGAGGAGGGAGCTTGGGGAGAGGGCATGGGCTTGAACAGCTGCTCGGGAAAGTACGGGCAGAGGAGCCAGCCTGAGAGGAGGAGCGGGTGCTGGGCAATTGTGAAGGCCTCACTGAGATAAGGTGCCTGGCCTGAAGCATCTCAGTGAGGACATTTTTGCATCTGTGTGCACCATCTCAGAGACAGAAACAGAGGAAAGGTGGGCTTATGCTAACAAATCATCCCACAATCTCTGTGTTTTACATCAACTGAGGTCTATCTATATACTAGTATATAAAAGCCTAAGCGACCGAATGACCAAACTACTGGTCGACCAGTCACTATGGTGTGCACTGACCACCAGGGGGCAGACGCTCAATGTAGGAGCTGCCCCCTGGTGGTCAGTGCGCTCCCACAGCCAACCTCTCTCAGCCAGCCAGCCTCCCACAGTCCCTCCCCCTGGCCGGCCACCCCAATCGTCCCTAATCGCCACCAGGCTGAGGAAGCCCCCACCCCGTGTATGAATTCATGCACCGGGCCTCTAGTTTCTTATAATACACATTCACCATGGGTTGGTGCAGTTCTCCTTGTCACTTCTGCAGCCAGAGACTCGGGGTGAAGGCGCGGCCTCTCTGTGGTGGGAGAAAGCACTGGGAAGCACAGGCTGACTGAGTGGGCCTGGAGGTGACCCAGTCATTTCTGCTCACATTTCACTGACTAGAGCAAATCATATGCCTGCCTGACTTGGACAGGGAGGGGAAGCAGACAGTGCAAATAGTAGCACAGTCCACTGCCTGGGTGTCCGGGGTGAGATGTCCAGGGCCCCATGTGACCAGTGAGAGTACTGTCAGATGACTGACCAGGGGGCACAGAGGGTTCTAGAAGCCAAGTGGCCTGACTTCACTGAGAACACTTTACTCTGCTCCCTCAGAGTCAAATGTCGGCATTCCTATTATCCTTTCATTAATTGTGTCTTCTCTCTAAATTTTCTCTCCCAATCCCTCTCCTTTTGTATTTCCGTATTTTCCGTCTGTCTGTCTCTCCGTGCAGGTGGAAAAAACTAGTGTTCAGAGTTCCAAACCAAAAAAGACCTCAGCGAGCCACAAGGCCCCGAGGAAGGCCAAAGACAAGCAGGTGGTGTCGGGCCGGGCCTTCAAGAAAAAGAGCGCGGAGGGCCCCAGCGCCGCCCAAGCCCAACCCGACGACAAGGAGCAAAGTAAAGAGATGAACAATAAACTGGCTGAGGCGAAAGAGTAAATTTCACTGCACTTTCCTTTTATTCTTCTCTCTCTCTCTCTCTCTCTCTCTTTTTTTTAAACCAACCAACAAAAAAAAGGCCACAAAATTGATTAGAGGCTTCTCATCTGTCTTGGTTCTGAGTGCTCCAGGCGCCCTTTGGTTTGGTTTCTTTTAGTGGAGGAATCCTGTTTGTTTCCAAGACCTATGGCGTGCCTCTCCTCTGCGTGGCCCAGTGGCCATGCCCGGGGCCCTGGAGCCCCAGGCCGTGTGGCTCACTGGTTGTGAGACCACCTGCTGGTGAGGAAGGCAGGCAGGGCTTAGCGCACAGAGGCAATTCCCAGCTGCTGCAGAGGGAATCTCCCGGTTGTGCTTAGAAATGTCTGTGGGAGTTGTCCTCCTCCTATTCCTCCCCAAGGTCAGTCAGTGATCAATTTGGAACTTCAGGTAAATGTGTTCTTTTCCAAATTCTGAGAGTTGTCGTCTGCTATAGAAGCTTAACCTGGACTTCAGCAATGGACAACATTTGTGAAAATATTTTTTAAGAAATACAAAAAACACAAGAAAACCTTGGCCTTAATGTCAATACATTTAGTTGTGTCTGCTAAATTTAAGTCATTTTCTCATAGGATCTTCTATTAGAAACGTATGGCCCCATTTAGTTTCTTATCAGTAGGCTTTACATTGTCCACCCCCACTGACGACTGAAACTAGGGCAGGGTGAAGGTGAGGTGTCTCAGACACCGTGGAAGGTGACACCAAGGCAGGGGTCGTTTCCTGTTTCCCCTCAGCAGCCTGCCTGCCCGGTGCTGCTGATTTTGCAGGGCGGCTGGTTACAGGTGACTGAGGAAGAAAGTTCAAGGTGTAGGGATAGTGTTTAGAACGTGACTCTCCTGCTTCTGAGAAGCACAGGCAGGGAGTGGACGTAGTGACAAGCGTGGCAATGTTTACTCTCCCTTCCCGACTGTTCTCGCGCTGCTCCTCAGAGGACGGAGGGCGCTGAGCCTCGGGTTAGGGGAAATGTCTGTGACTTAGCTAAGGCTAGAGGAGTTCCCTGCTAGGTGATTAGCAAGCATTCTTGACCTCATTAATGGATAAAAGCAGCTCCCAGTGAAGTGTGTGTTGTGTGTCTGTGTGGCCAAAGCCTCCAGTGGTGGCCAGGGCCATCTTAGCTGTGCTAGAGTCGTGTCGTAGGTGTTAGTCAGAGAGCTGTTGTGAAAACACCCCAAAATACCTGCCAGAAAAATCACATTTGCAAACCTGTGGCATGTGTATTGCTCAGTATGATTTATTTCTCGTGTCCTTAAAGTGCTCGCTGTCGCCAGCATTTGGAAATCGCTGGGCTGTTGTATGACGCCAAGCCTCTGCTCAGCCTACTCTTCCTTGGTAAGGAAAGTAGTGAGGAGTGAAGTTCTCACGGTTCCGTACCTCAGATGTTCCTTAGTCCTTCCGGTCTAGAGGAAGCAGGGCCTCCAAGTGCTGTCTCCTATTCTGACCATTTAAGCCACCAAGTCTGGGTTTGACACCATTTTGTTGGTCACCTTGGAGCTGATGGAGAAGTGCTTTGTGGATTTTTGAACATGTGCCATGCGAGCCACATTTCCTAAGAGAACAGGACTACGAACACCGAAGCCCTCGGCCAGGCCCTCTGCCGTCTCCCTGTCTACCTCAGGGTATGGAACTGTGAGGAAGGAGAGGTAGTGAAAAAGGTAGAAGATGGGAGGAGTTTCGTGTTTCTGAATCACAGATTTTGACGCCTACCTGGAAATGACCAGAGTCGGTCGCAGTACTGATCCCAGCTATTTGCTAGCGAATCTTCATCTGAACCAGAGATCTCTATCAACATGATCTTAACTTTATCCAGATAATTTGCCAGTATATTCTCATTCTCTCAAGATTAGTCAGACATGTTGTTAGCCACAATTTGGATTTCTCCGTAGCATAGTCGTATATTTTTTGCAGATCAAGTAAATCAAACTTCACAATGCACAGGAAACCATTCATTCAGTATTCACTTCCTGAATGCCTGTGCGCCAGACACTGTCCTAGACATGGTGAGTCGTGTAAGTAAATCTGTCTGTACAGCAGCACAACCAGGATTCCTGTGACTTGATCCCTGTGTCTGGTTCAAGGTTGTGTTGCCCAACTTGTAGAGTTCGCCACCCACCTGGCAGCCCCAGGGACTAAGTTCCCTACCTTGCTGCACCTGAGTCGAGGCTTGAGATGACCTGTATAATGTCTTTTTCCACCCTTCAGTGTCCCCAGCTTTTTCACACCTGTTTGTAGTTCACTTTGACTCTTAAATATATCCTTTCACTGGCAAGAAACTTCCTTTGATTTCTACTGCTTACAAATAAAACTCAGCCGTCTTGTTCTGTACCCCAGACGTACTGATGGAAACTGTTTTCAGTTCCACGAGCAGTGTTTTGTCTTTGCCTTTCTGAAGGTGACCAAGCTCCCAATGCCTGTTCCTCCCAGTTTTGTACATTTCCCTATGGTTTCCTCAACTCCCCTGGCAAGAGAGCGAGGACTGAAGCTTTGCCACTGTCTGCTTTGCTTGCCTGCAAAAATAATCCCTGAAGCTGGGCATGGGCTCCGGCAGCTCTGTGGTCCCTGCTGGCGTGCCCGTTTGGCCCACTATGCTTTTGCCTCTCTGAGGCAGACAGGAGTGTCTAATTACGATTTTGTGGCCTGGGTTTTGTTGCATACCACAGATTGTCTATGTAATGTGTAGCGCACACCTCTCTCGGTGCTATTTCATTCCTGCTGTTAGTACGAAAATGACAAAACTATTCATGTATAGCCAATTGATTGTGACGTGCTTGTGGTCTGTGCCTGCTCAGAAAAACAAACAAACAAACAAACAGTTTTTCCAATTTTAAATAAATACTAAAGTCGAACGCCACTTTCTTGATCTTATTTCCTTGGCAAGGCCCAGCTGAGTAGGTGAAGGACCAAGCTTTGCCATTTGAGCCACTCTCCACGAGAGGAGCTGTGCCCTGCCTTTTTCTGGGGTTCTCCGTAATGCAGCTTGACTCTTTTAGATTGCCTCTCAGATACTAATTGCGAGCAGTCAGAGCTAAGTGTTGGGAAAGGCGAAGATGGACCGGGAGACCCACTGGCCAACAAGGTAGTGTAACGTTTTGATCCCCGACCCCGTGTTGCTGGGGGTGAGTGACCGCCTGCGTTCAGTACCTCCTCTCCCCGCCGGGAGGCTGGGCCCGACCCTCTCCCTGCTTCCTGTCGACCAGCAGGACCGTGGGTTCTAGCTTTTTCTTCTCCCAAGGATTGGCAGAGATGCCTTCCCTTGCTCATTTCATCTGGTCATTGTGGAAGTGTCACCCTCGGGGGGCTGGCTCACTGTGGGGGGTGACAGTCTTGTGTGTGCCTAACATGGGGGTGTGGAAACAGCCATAAGAGAGGCCCACGTAAGGTAACAACAGAGCAGGTAGCTGGAAGCTCAGGTAAAGGACAGGCGTAGGAGTCAGAAGGCCTCATGGGGGAGGGAGCCTAGGAGACTGGGTGGGGTGCAAGTGTGCAGGGGCAGGCCTGCAGGCAGGAGAGCAGATCTGGGAGGGAAGCTCAGAGCTAGGCCAAGTTTGCCCACTTTGATTTCCTTCTGCTAAAGTGGGAGACAAAAGGTTCTATGTGGAATCCCACTTCCCTTTTCCAAAATTAATTGAATACCTATTCTGTGCTAGGCACTGTGTTGGGCACTAGGGAACCAGGATGACTGAGACCCCACCTCTGACCACAGTGGGGCAGCAGGAGGAATCTGTTCTAGCTGGTTCTGTGGATCAGGGAAGACCTCAGTGGATGGGCAGGTGGCCAAGACATGCCAGACAGAGGGAGTGCACAGCAAAGGGGTGGAGGGTTCAACACCAGGTGAGCTCAGGTCCTGGGGTAGCAGTTTGCTCAGGGAGGGTCAAGGCAAAGGCTGGACAGTGGCAGAGGCTGACACGGGAAGGCCTGGTGCCATGTGAGCGGGCAGTTGCTAACTGGGATCTCCATTTCATACACCCAGACTGCGCCCCACACCCTTGCATGCTCCCTGCCATCATGCTTCTCACCCACATATCGGGCAACAAGTATAGGTCCTCTCTTGCTTTAGGCTAGGAGCTCTAGGCTGGGTCTTGTATCCTTTGCTGGCCCCCAATTTCTTGGTTTGGGGGAGAAGGTTTGGTAGGAATCAATCAAGGGTCATACATATGAAAACCACCATATATTTGTTTTCTGGATTAACAGAAAAAGTTATACCCACCTGCCTGCCTTTGTATGAGTCAGAAAACAGAAAATACTGTTCAATCTATAAACCATACATAAAAACATATTAAAGTATATCATTCAGCTCTATTTTGACCAGTTAAGGATTATTTTGATCAAAACCAGGGATTGAGAGAGGTGAAAGAAAGACAAGAGAGAGGTAGAAATAGAAGCACAGAGAGAGGAAAAACACATAAATGAAGACCCAGAGAATAGCCCGAGAGAAGGTGAGACACACTCAGAACCAGAAAGAGGACAGGAGTTGGCAACAGAGAAGGCAGGAGGGTGGGGAGCCCGGCTACCTCTCCCTTTGCAGCCCAGCAGGCAGGGCTCTCCCAGAGCCTCAGCCCGCACCCCTCACCATGCTGGCTGATGCTGCCTGAAGCCCAGGAGGTGGATCCATACTCATTACTAACACCACCTCCCTAAACCAGCAAACAGAATTAAAATCAGCCCTCTAGTTTTAAAATAGTTCATTACTAAACTAGTTGTGTGTTTTTTAATTCTTCCTTAGTGTCTGTGTGTTCTTAGTGAAATTCTTCCCTCGGTGTTTTGTTTTGTTTTGTTTTGTTTTTCACTTGGGTTAAAATTTTATGACCTTCTTCTCATAGATTTGGGGAGTGTCAAGTCCCATTTCACAAAGCCTGGGACACCCCCCCCACCACCACCACCCTTATCATGTCTTCCTGGTTTCAGGTTCCTTTTACTGCTAAAATGTCTTAAAGCAGTACATTTTTAGGACCACAGATATAAA